GGGTTGGGGCGCCACCACTGTCACACTCAGGGCAGGGCCGATGGGGAGGTTATGGCTCTACCCCGTCACACACAGAGCAGGGCCCGTGGGCGGGGGGAGGGGGGTTGGGGCACCACCCCCTGTCACACACAGAGCAGGGCTGATCAGGGGGTTGGGACGCCACACCCTGTCACACACAGAGCCGCAGGGCGATCAGGGGGTTTGGGCGCTGCACCCTGTCACGCTGATCTGGTGCCAGGAGGCCTCACGGCTCCGCTGATCCCGGTGCTGGGAGGCATATTACCCTTTTACTATATAGGATAGAGGCCTGGGGGCCGGCTGGTTTGCCCTGAAGGGTGTCCTGGATCAGGGTGGGGGTCCCCACTGGGGTGCCTGGCCAGTCTGGGTGAGGGGCTGAGGGCTGCTTTCAGGCTGGCGGTTTTGACTGCTTTCAGGCTGGCGGGAAGCTCCCAACCACTCCTTTTTTTCTTTTTTTCTTTTCTTCTGGGCCAGCTTTAGCTCTGGCTCTAGCTCTGAGGCTTCCGCTGCTGGTTTGTTTGCCGTTCTATAATCGAAACAATGTATAACTTCAGCTCTGAGATCCCAGCCGGCTATATTTGTTAGAATGTTTCAAACTGCCAGCTCAGAGTCCGGCAAGGCGGGGAACGTTGGAGTCTGCAGTCACAGGAGCAAGCAAGCCTCACGTTCGCTTCCAGCTGCCTGGCTGCCGGCCGCCATCTTGGCTGACAGTTAATTTGCATAAGGATACGCTGATTAGCCAATCGGAAGGGTAGCGGTCGTACGCCAATTACCATTTTTCTCTTTTATTAGTGTAGATATATATATATATATATTTGCACTTAATCACTAAGCATTCACTGAATCTATTATAACATCAATGCAACATTGGCATTATAGTCACTTCTGTACTTTTCTCATCACACTGCCTAGATGATAAACCATTTGTGGGTAAGACCAGTGCCCTGCCTGATTTTGTATTCTTAGCATGACATATCAGAGTATGTGGCTTGGAGTGTACTTCCTGATGCATCTAATTGGATAGAAAAAGAATAGTTCTTCAAGCTTGGGTAGCTCTGATTTCTAGAAAGTTTGGCTTTTAGTACTCATGCCAGTACTTATTGCAATGTACACATCAAAGAGTTTGTTGAAATTTGATACATAGTATGTACTAGAGCTTTATTTTATTTTTTTTAGTCTTAAGTACCTCACATAAACTTGTAGCAAACAGAGGACCACATTATGTCCTTCATGCATATAGGCTTTTGAAATTCTTAATAAGGGAGTTCCAGGACCATCATAGGTGTTCACAGAGTGGTTGTGGTTAAATTGAAGAATTTTCCTATTGAAAACCTCAAAAGAAATAGTATGTCTGGTTTCTTAACTATTTAAATTCTCAAAGCTCTTTAAAAACCACTTAGTGATTCTAGAGAGGAGAGAAGGGATGTCTTTTCAAGTAAATTATCATTAAGAATGTATAACACCATCTAAACTTGGAATAACCTTTCTTTCCCTGCCTTTAAGATTTAGTCTTCATGACCTCTTAATTGCTAAATCAATTAGCCTTTTTTTCGGTCATCATCCCTCAGAATCTCGGCCTTTCTCTACAGGCAGCACCACCTTCCCCTCCTTGCCTGAGCCAACACCTGGCTCTCTCATGAGGGGCCCTTCCACTGCAGCCCTGTTGCATAGCCACAATCCTCAGGGCCATGGCGGGGTGATAAAGGCTGTGTTGTCATTGTCCTCCATTCCCATTTGCTTCTCCGATCTCTTCTAGAATCAGACTTTTACCTTTTTTCTGAAAACACTGTGCCTTTCAGGCTCATGCCCTTGGACTCTACCTGCTTTTTTACCTTGTTGGGGTCTTTCTCCAATTTATTAAGGTCTTGGCACTGGCTTAGGGTCTCCCTCCCAGCAGAGTCCACCGTCATCCTGGGTGACCTGGTGTTCGTTCACAAGGTCAGTCCCACAGTAACTGCATCTTGGGCCTTGGACCGGGTCACCTCCAGTGAGTTTCTGCCTTTTTCAACTTTTGTTACCTACTCACACACTCACAAAGAAGACCTTTTCATCACCCCTCACTGTGTCACCTTCAAAATTCAAATGTCCCATCCAACACAGCTTCCTCTACCTTCACCCAGCCAGAGTAATTTTTTGAATTGCAAATTTATTCCCAGCTTTCTCACAGTCTCCCAAGCCCTAGCTACCCGCTCCTCCCCTAGATTACCGCACTAGCCCCTGGCTACTTTTCCTTCTTTTATCCTGCCACTAACATTTCACTCTTCACCCAGCAATCAGAATGATCCTTTAAAACATTAACTGAATCATGTCACTCCCCTGTATAGAGTATTCAGTGACTTCCCATTCTGCTCAGAATAATGCCCACACTCCTCATGACAACCTAACAAAGTCCTTGTGAACATGGCCCTGCCTCTCTTCATCTTGTCCTCCACTGGGCCGGGCCTTCTTGCTTGGTTCTTCTTTGAGGACTTTGTATTTGCTGCTCCTCTTTCATAACATTCCCCTTCACATGTGCAAGGCCTGTGTCCTTCTTTCTGGTCTCGTTCAAACACTACCTCAGACCTCTCCCTGCATCTTTAGTCTCTTTTATCTGAAAATAAAGTGTGTGTGTGTGTGTGTGTGTGTGTGTGTGTGTGTGTGTGTGTGAGAGAGAGAGAGAGAGAGAGAGAGAGAGAGAGAGAGAGAGAGAGTGTTTAACCACCATTGAGGTTATTTATCTGCTGATATGATGTCTTTTCCCTTCTGGGATGTAGGCTCTGGTGTATAGGGGCTTTGTCTATCTTACTCACTCTGATTCTCCAGCACCTGCTAGAACGGGGCTCCTGAGGAATTTCATAAATATTCTCTGACTAAGTGATAAGCATTGTATCTCACTCTACTCTTCAGTTTTCCATGCTCTTCCTCCTCATACTACCCTTGATGAGGAAGTTAACACCCATTCCTAGATTGCAGCCCCATTGCCATTTCCCTGTCCTCTCACCATGTCAAATTGCCAGAGAGCCGCGGTATGAGCACTGTTCACAGCATTGACCATCTGACGTTTTAATATTTATGTGAATCTCTCACTAATGAAGTTGCCCTTGCACCCACCTGCTGCCACCTACCCTCAGGCTGTAACTTCAAGAGAAGAGGGGTACGTGGGTTTTTTCTTTCTGTTGTATCCCCAGTCCTGTTAGCATAGTGCTTGGCACACTGGGGTACCCAGGAAATGAGTGTTGAATGAATGAATCTCTTGGTTGTCATATAATGAACCATCTTCTCCCCCTTTCTTTCCATTGCATCTTCTCTCCTGATTATCTGCCTCCCTGGTTGTTCTTGCTGTAGATTCCTTAAAGGTAGCCTGCTCTTAGCTTCTGCATCTGTTCTGCTCATGACATACTCTGCTCCAGATTATTCTTTCTGCTCCTTAGCTTCACTGTCACTTCTTTGTGGATGACCAGACTGATCTTTTAGCCTGACTTCTCTCCTGAATCTCAGTGCTCAACTTCTTGTTGAGTTGTTTGGGTTCCCCTAGACCAGGGGTCCTCAAACTACGGCCCGCGGGCCACATGCAAATACATATATTGTATTTGTTCCCGTTTTGTTTTTTTACTTCAAAATAAGATATGTGCAGTGTGCATAGGAATTTGTTCATAGTTTTTTTTTAAACTATAGTCCGGCCCTCCAACGGTCTGAGGGACAGTGAACTGGCCCCCTGTTTTAAAAGTTTGAGGACCCCTGCCCTAGACCCTCAAGTTAAAGAAAACCAAACCTTTTAATGTACTGCAGTCAACCTAGTCACCTGGGCTCCAAGCCTTAGAGTCCTCCTCAGTACCTCTCTGTGTCAGGTCACACATCCACGGTCTCTCCCAAGTTCTATTGATTTGACCAGAGAAGTACCTTGTGTCTGTTGTGTTCCTAGCATCCCCTCTCCTTCCCCCTCAGCAAGTCTGACATGCTGCTTTTCTTCTACAGACAGTTCTGAGGTCTGCACAGACAGAGAAAGCTTTCCCCCTCTCTGGTGCCCACATCTTCCATAGCCACATACGTGCTTCATTCTCATGGGGCCCCTCAGTGATGGGCTGAAATTTGATGAATGTGGCTGTCCTGTAGATGTTTGCATTAAGGAACCATAAACTGTTTTAATTTGATTCTAAATCTTCTCTGCAGTTGCTCCAAGTGCTTGTCCTTTGTGTACCCACAGATGCTTTCCCTTGGTATAACTTTGGTCAACTTCTTCCATAAACAGCACATTCTGAAGCTCCATGCAAAGCAGAATGGCATCATTTCAAATGGGCTCTATACCCCCAAGACAGGCCCAACCCCACACCCCACCCCTGCCACCGCCCACACCTCCTGCCTCCAGAGGCGTAACAGCCCACTCTCATCCCCGGCTGACTTAAGTGCCCTCAGAATAGAGAGGTCCGTGAGGGAGATGCTCTAACTTAAGCTGCATTGAGAACCAGGTACTTTACTGGAGATGGAGCTGCTGAGAGGTATCCACAGGTGGGCCTGGGGGCAGTCACACAGGATACTTTCAGGTTCTAATTTCATTTAGAATTACTAGGATTTGTTATTCAAGTCCTATAGGACTTTTTTTTTTCTTTTGTGGCACATTTGCCATTTCACCATTTAGGCCTGGAGCCTCCTTAAGCTCCATAGTTTTGGCTTATTGATCTCCAATCAGTAAGTCTTGATTGGTGTGAAGTGATCTATAGGCAAAATCTCATCACAGGTTCTGAATCATCCATAGTGGAAGGCAGTGCCCTACGTGACTACTGAAGTCATACAGCGCCTAGTAAAGAGTTGACCTGAGGAGTGATTATAGTTCTAGATGTGACTCTGGAAATTATATTCTTTCCACTGTACTGGGTAAATTTGACTTGTTTGCAAATCATAAGTAGCGCTGAGAATGTTTAATGTTTCATCTCATTGCACTGATCAGTTAAGTACCACCTTTCACATTCCCTTCTTCCTGTCTTTTCTCCCCTCTGCGGCCTTAGAGCATACTCCTTCCATGTGACGGCAGACGGGCAGATGCAGCCTGTCCCTTTCCCCCCCGACGCCCTCATCGGACCCGGCATCCCCCGACACGCTCGCCAGATCAACACCCTGAACCACGGGGAGGTGGTGTGCGCAGTGACCATCAGCAACCCCACGAGACACGTGTACACGGGTGGGAAGGGCTGCGTCAAGGTCTGGGACATCAGCCACCCCGGCAATAAGAGCCCTGTCTCTCAGCTTGACTGTCTGGTGAGTGAGCATGATGCACAGGGCTTAGACCTCTTTTCAGAAAATAGGGTGGGACGGTGAGAAACCAGGATGTACGAGCCACACACGGTGTTGACCCCAAGTGGGCAGTTGTTTTCAGTGGTTTGTAGTCTTTCACGTGGAGATGTAAAGCGCTGGCAAGGATGCACGTCTTCTTTCAGTTCCTTAGGGCGAAATTATCCAGTTGTTCATGTGACACTGCACCAGGGTAGCTGTCATCAGCTGGCTCAGTGCCTAGGAGCCTGCAAACCACTTGTTTTTCTGTCTGGTAAAGGGGTGTAGGAAAAGGAAGAGCCCACGTGGTTTCTGGGAGAGTGCACCTAACTGTCCTAATTTGTCACATTGCGAGACGAGAGTAACTTAATATATCCTGTGACAAACACTGCAGACCCCCTTGGCTGTTTCATGGGTATTTGTCCTTGAGTTTTTAAGGAAATTTTAGTTTGATTTTCTTCCTTAGACCAGCAGCAGGATTTTTGCTATAGCACGATGCTAGGTCAGTTTAACATAATTAACTTACACAAGATTCTCGTGACCTCATGAACTGAGAAGAAATTATTTTTTTTCCTGTCATTTAATGCTCCTTAATCATATTTTGCCTCCAGCTGATGTTGCTTAATCAATCAAACCCAGGAAGCCTTTAGCCAGGTAATGCAGGGCCAGGTGGAAGGAGGAGACTGTTAGGTCTCCTCAGCAGCCTGGCAGTTTGGCAGCAGTGGTGGGACCTCTCCCCCGCCAGGTCGAGTGTGCCAGGTCCTCAGGCTTGGTGCTTCAGGACTGCGTGGGTCGCTGCGCTAATGAGCGAGCGCGCCTGTGTGTGCAAATGACTCAGGCAGCTGGTTGATTTGGTGGTGGTGGGAGTAGGTCTAGATCTTTGCATTTATATGCTAATTAAGATTAAATATCTCAGTGCTAAATTTTGTAGATCAAGTTTAAGTACTTCTCTAATTTCATGTAATTTTCTAGCATTAATCCACTTTATCATTGTCATAAGTAAAAATGGCTCATTAAAACCAGGAGGGAACACAATACTTTATGGATTTCTGCTCTCGTGTTAATGCTGTTTTCCTTTCCTCATGAGTAATCCCTTGATGGTTTTTGTCTCTACAGAACAGGGATAACTACATCCGTTCCTGCCGATTGCTCCCTGATGGTCGCACCCTAATTGTGGGAGGGGAGGCCAGCACTCTGTCCATCTGGGACCTGGCCGCCCCGACCCCTCGCATCAAGGCGGAGCTGACGTCCTCGGCCCCTGCCTGCTACGCCCTGGCCATCAGCCCCGACTCCAAGGTCTGCTTCTCCTGCTGCAGCGACGGCAACATCGCTGTGTGGGACCTGCACAACCAGACGCTGGTGAGGTGGGTCAGCAAGATTCCTCACCAGGGATGGAGGAGGAGCTGTTGTACCATATTGTACCTGAGATCTGCATGCATGTCTGTCTGCCTAGAAGATGAAATAGAACTAATAGGCCCATTTTAAGATGCTAGGAACATTATTAATATAAAATCTTTGTTTTCTGCCGTAAACTTTATCAAATGAATGGGGTTGCCTTCTTTATTCCTTTTTTTCTTTTTGACATTATACTAACTGGTGTCATTCAGGTTTTTAAAAAATGAGGTCACTTTTACATAAGTAATGTACATAAGGTTCTCATGACCTCATGAGCTCGTTAAACATCCGTAATTTGCCATCTCTGCTTGCTAACAAACCGCCATTGTCGATAGCAGCTCTCTGAGAAGACTCACAGTACGTGGTGCTATTGGTGCCACACGCATCTGATATGGTCGTTCTTCAGCAAGTGACTGTTGAGCACCTGCCATGGGCCAGGCATGTGTTCGGTGCTGTTCACCCTGAAAAGTCTGGATTATCTGTAGTCCCACCTTTAAGGGTGGATAGACATAACTAAGATGTCTGTTTAGAAATGAGATTGTAGAAGGTGGTGTTGATATGTAAGGCCCTGAAACAAGTCTCCACATGTCAGCACCAGAGAGAGCAGGAAGCAAGAGGTGTGATCCGCTAACGGGTGTGGGAAGGTTGTAATCAAGCCTAGCTACAAGTCGGGGGCGTGTGCAGGAGAAGAGGCCTCTGCTGTCTGTTGCAAGATATGTGGCAGGACGAAGCTCTGTGTATGATTCCAATAACAAAACAGTCATTACTGTGTTCCCTTTGGGTAAGGTTCTTAAGAGGAACTGCTTCTAATCCCTTCTTCCCCCAGTGTCTTTGACAGTGTACCAGCTCCTGCGGCAGCTGAGTCACCCCGAGTTTCTTTCCTGTGCCTTAACCTGAGATCACAGCCTCCTGCACTTGCACCTGGAACAATTCCTTCTCCCTGCGCCCTTCCCCATAGTCTGTAAAGGGAGATATTCCCTCCTCCCTCTTGCATTCTCTCCTCCCCTTATATCTCAGCGAGAGGATAGGCCTCAAATATGGCTTATATAGTCCATACATATGCCACACTGTGTTTTTATTTGTTTACTTCAGTTGGAGTTTTTTTTCCATCAGTTATTGCTTAACAGTAATTTCAAGTATTTCCTAAGTGTTTATGGGTAAATAAAAATACAGCCTTTCAATTTAACTTTAATCTCTCTTACATATGTGCTTTGTCATTACTAAGAATAATCAGAAAACATAAGGTAATCCACAAATAAGACCTGCAATAAAATTGATTGCTGTGGAATTGTAAAGTGAATTCACCTAAAAACTAACTTTTCAAGGATTTTTCTCTCCATTTTGACATTTTTAGGCAATTCCAGGGCCACACAGACGGGGCCAGCTGTATTGACATTTCTAATGATGGCACCAAGCTCTGGACGGGCGGCCTGGACAACACGGTCAGATCCTGGGACCTGCGCGAAGGGCGGCAGCTGCAGCAGCACGACTTCACCTCACAGGTACAGTCTTGCGCCATAATGTTTCAGAAGCCTTGGTTTTGTGAAATAGGTGACGTGCTTAAGAAGGGGCGCTTCCTTTATTGTGAGACAAAGTCACTTTTGACTCTGGATTAGACAGCTGAAAATTCCATTGTTTTCTATCAACATAAAATAGTATATATTCTATTGAAGGATTAATAAATCTCTTTTATTATAAGCTTTTAACATGTTTTTCTTTCAAAGTCCATTACTCTATATATAGTTGAATTGTACATCATTTATTACTAAATTATATTTGTGGAGATCTGTCTCATTAATTTGGGATCACTTGTTTGGCTTTGATTTTTTTCCCTGTACAATGTAAATAATCTTGATTTCCTTTATAATTTAAGTAGTATACCCAAAAGAAACAGTGCCTCCCAATTAGAGGAAGTGTGTCTTCTCTAGCCATTTTAACTGTCACATATTTTAATTCTAGATATTTTCTCTGGGCTACTGCCCAACCGGAGAGTGGCTCGCAGTGGGGATGGAGAACAGTAACGTGGAAGTGCTCCATGTCACCAAGCCAGACAAGTATCAGCTCCATCTGCACGAGAGCTGCGTGCTGTCACTCAAGTTTGCCCACTGTGGTAAGCAAGCCCTCTGTCCTCTTCTGTCAGCCAGAATCCTGCCTTCTGACCTCCTGCTGATGCATTTTAAGTCAGGCCCTGCAGTTCGTGAACATGTCTCTCCTCAAAACTACCACTTCCTTACACGAGCCTACTTCCCTAACGCCATGCAATTTCCTGGCATTCAGCCACTTTGTCCTTGTCATAGTATAATCGGCTGAATGTAGGAGCGTGAGCTATAATTTTCAGTGAAAACAACTCTTATTTGTTGCAAATTAGATGAGTTTCCTGTGAATAGCTTGAAGCTCTGTAAAGCAGGTCTCAGTGTCTGACAGAGTATCACAAACTGCTTTTCTCGAAATCCTCTTCCTGTAGGCAAATGGTTTGTGAGCACTGGAAAGGACAACCTTCTGAACGCCTGGAGAACACCGTATGGAGCCAGTATATTCCAGGTAACAGCTGGTTAGCTTTTACTTACCTTGTGCTCACTGCATGGGAGTAGTTTAACAAGCTCTTTCCGTGCATCCTTGCAGATTAGTAATGGGCAGGTAAGTGTCTAGGACAGTGGTTCTCAACCTTCTGGCCCTTTAAATACAGTTCCTCATGTTGTGACCCAACCATAAAATTATTTTCGTTGCTACTTCATAACTGTAATGTTGCTACTGTTATGAATCCTAATGTAAATATCTGATATGCAGGATGGTCTTAGGCGACCCCTGTGAAAGGGTCGTTCGACCACCAAAGGGGTCGTGACCCACAGGTTGAGAACCGCTGGTCTAGGAAGTAGGAGTTAGTGTGATTCCTGTTGCACAGAGAAAGAAGACTGTGCCTGGGGAGGCTAGTGTCACAGCCACAAGCCGTGGAGCCGGGATCCTCTCCGGTTCTCTCTGCGCCCAGAGCCTGGATGCTGTGCCTGCTGCATGGCCAGCTCTTTGTGCCTCAACCCCCTTAGACGCTGTCATGGAGGGGTTTTGTTTCTGTAATTCTTTTTTGTTTGCATGGTTTATTTAAAATTTTTGTTTAATATTTTAGCATTTTGCTGATTACTATTATTATTGCTCTTTCTTTGAATTTTCCCCCCCAAAAAGAGAAAAGTGTGTTATGGAAAAAAGTTCAATAAATCTTGATTAATTTTATAAACTTTTATTCTTATTGACTTAGTGGTACTTTTTGTAGTTTGTGAAATTATTTGTAAAAGAAATAAATTTTAGACATGATACACACAATCTCCTCACTCTTATTGGTATGGAGAATTGTATAGGCATGTTAAAGAAGATTCTCTTTTTAACCTTATTTAATTAGGATGTTATTTTTTTAGGTTCTTTTTTTTGTATTAATAACATAACAGATTTGCAGGTTTTTTTTTACCTAGTGATATTAAGTCATCGTAGAGTAGGTTATAATTGAATCAAAAAACACATAGATTGAGTGAAAATACTGTGCAAGGCAATCAATAGAAGAAAAATTGCTGATTCTTGCTGTCATAAAGTTTATAATCTAATATAGTGGCAGGTTTTTTGTATTGTGGGTCATAGCCTCTTATATGGTCCCAACTAGGCCTTTAAAAATAATAATAATATTAGAGTGCATGTTTTGTAGCAAGTATACATATGTATCTTATGTGTATACTGGATTGTGAAGTAAAACGTGTTTATTCAGGTCATGATCAAAAAAGTTTGCGGGCCCCGGCTGGGTGGCTCAGTAGGCTGGAGCATCAGCCTGTGTACCAGAAAGGATTTGGTTGATTCCCAGTCAGGGCATATACCTAGGTTGGGGGTTTGATCCCAGGTCGGACCACATACGTGAGGCAACTGATCAATGTTTCTCTCTCACATTGATGTTTCTCCCTCCCTTCATCCCTCCCTCTTCCCCTAAAATCAGTTTTTAAAAAAAAACATAAAAGTTTGAGAAACACTGGTAGTGGGTTAGCAGCTGCATGTCAAACATTTATTTTTTAATTATTCAAAGTCCTAGTTAAAATCCTGTGGGTATTTTTGTTTGTTTGTTTGATCGTTTGTTAGCACAGTTCAGTTAAAAGTTAACATTAACCCTTTTGTAGTTAGTACAATTGAACAGGGTATCCAAGAGCTCGAAGTGTGATACATTTTTCTTTCTAACGATTGACCCCCTCCCTGCTTGCTAATTGTGTTCCAGTTTTTCACAGGGGAAAATTAGAAATATTTTTACATCCCCCATTAAAAAATGTAGTGTTTTCTCTTAATTTTATTATTTTATTGTTGACACTATTACAGATGTCCCCATTTCCCCCTTCTTTGCCCACCTCTACCCTACCCCCGCCCTCTTCTCCTCTGACCATCACCGCTTTGTTGTCTGTGTCCATGGATTTTGCATACATGTTCTTTGGCTAATCCCAGTGTTTTCATTGCTCTGGCCCATGTATTACCTTACTTGAACACTATGGCAACCCTCTAGAGAGGGCAGGACAGTAAGATGTCTTCACCTGTGTGCCTTTATTAGGAAACTATACACCATTACCAAGTGGGATTTATTCCAGGGATGCAAGGCTGGTACAATATTTGCAAATCAATAAACGTGATACATCACATAAATAAATTGAAAGACAAAAATCACATGATCGTATCAATAGATACAGAAAAAGCATTCAACAAAATCCAACACTCATTTTTGATAAAAACTCTCAGCAAAGTGGGAACAGAGGGAGCATATCTCAACATGATAAAGGTCATATATGACAAACCTACAGCCAATATCATACTCAATGGGCAAAAGTTAAAAGATTTCCCCTAAGAACAGGAACAAGACAGGGATGTCCGCTTTCACCACTCATATTCAACATAGTACTGGAAGTCCTAGCCACAGCAATCAGACAAGAAGAAATAAAAAGCATCCAAATTGGAAAGGAGGAAGTAAAACTCTCATTATTCGCAGATGGCATGATATTGAACATAGAAAACCCTAAAGACTCTACCAAAAAACTAGATTTAATAAATGAATTTGGCAATGTAGCAGGATACAAAATCAACACCCAAAAATCGATGGCTTTTTTATACACTAATAATGAATTCTCAGAAAGAGAAACTAAACAAACAATCTCATATACCATTTCAACAAAAAAATTAAGATACTTAGGAATAAACTTAACCAAGGAGGCAAAACACCTGTACTCAGAAAACTATAGACCATTGAAAAAAAGAAAAGAAGATATAAACAAGTGGAAAGAAACTGTGAGGCTCAGGCAGGTTAAGTGACATGTCTGGTGTTTGTAGCTCCACCTGAATCCAAGTCAAAGGAGTGAAGCTGAGGGGTTTCGTACTAAGACGCTCTGCTCTGACCTGTCTGGAGATCAGGATTTGAAATAGGGCCTTGCTTCATCAGGTAACTTGCCTGGCACCTGATGTCCCCAGGGCAAGAGCCTGTAGACTCACAGGTGAAGTGTCCCCGGAGGGCACCTGGCTCCGCTGCTGTGTTAAGGAAGCACCATGATTGCCTTTCCTGCTTCGGCTCCTCTTTGGGCAGCGGAACACACTATGCTTCTTTCGCTCTAAGTTCTCCCTCCAGTCCTGCCTCGCAGTATTAATGGGCTTCTCTTTTGTATTTAATCTTTTTATTTTTATTTTTCTTTCCCAGTCCAAAGAATCCTCATCGGTGCTCAGCTGTGACATTTCTGTGGATGACAAATACATTGTCACTGGCTCTGGGGATAAGAAAGCCACGGTTTACGAAGTTATTTATTAAGGACAAATCTCCATGCGGACTGGACTCCTTCTCCTTGTAGCACTTTGTTCTGTCAGCCTCCCCGGGCCCCTCACCCCCATCTAAAACCAAGGATTTCAAATACTCATTGCAGTAGTGGCGTCGAGCCCCCTACCTTCCCCCTCCTCCTTGCTATGGAATTGTGAATACTCATTTAAGAGAACCTGTGATACCAAATCTTCAGCTCTCTACTTGGAAGAACATGGAATAACCATACTTAACAGTGAATGGAAACTTTATGTATTATATCTGTAATATATTTATTTTGTTTAAAGAAGGCTTTCTAACAATGACTGACTAAATAAAGCTGTCTGCTCCTGCATTGATAATGAAGATGCGTTGTATTTGGTACCCCTCCCCCCTTTTTTTGGCAAAGGAGGGGAAAGGAAGGTTTAAAATAATTGATTAAAAATGTCACTAAATGTAGACTAATGACTGTATAGAGATGTGAAATGTATAATTACATATTGAAGCAATATGTTGCTGTGTTGTTAGATTTATTTTCTACTTATTTTCAAGATGTTTGGAAATTTGAACAATTAGAACATGACAGGCCACATATTCATTTGAGTCTATTTGGACAACTTTAATCAGTATATCTATAGCTTTAGATTATATTCGATAAAAGTAATTGGACTTTTTCTTTTCTTTATTTTTTGGACTTGTTGGCAAGTGTCTTTGTAATATGTTCCTAATTCCTTTTTTTATTGTATTATAGACAAATGAACAAGTTAAATTTGGCCTCAAAGAGAGAACTTAATCCCTCTGAATATTTTTGCCACATTTCTTTGCAAAGGGAGAAGTTTCTCTTGGGGCAGTTTTGTCATTAGGAGAGATTATGGGCTATTTTTTGGCATGTTCGCAGACTGCACAGATTCCTCCCGCTGTGCAAGTCAAGTCTTTTACAAAACAAGGACAGCAGAGGAGGATTTGCAAGGACCCCCCTCTGACCTCCAGAAAGAATGGACTCCCGCCTGGGATGAGGACTTACTTCCTTACCTCCGCTTCTTTCCATGTCTTAGTTGGATGTCCCTGAAATGGACACAGGCTGTGCCATTGTGCCAGAAACATTGTGTTATCTTTTATGTTGTCGTTGTTGCTGTTAAACTATGATATGTGACTTCTTTTTTTATTATTATTTTTTGTTTGAATGCTTTAAAAATCTTCTAAGTCTGTGGATCTGCTGATGTACAGTGCCTTTGCTGCTATGGATCAAAATCAAGAGAACCGTGTAGATAAACTTTATTGTATAAGTAGAAAATGACTTAATTTCATACTAGAAATGGATGGATGCTGCAAGTTGAAATGGGCTGTCCATTGACGTTCCTAATGTGGTAGCAGAAAAAAAAAACTGGTGTCTTAAGTGCTTAGTGTTTGATGTCATTAACAGTTTCGTAAAACCCTACAGTGTAGAAAGATTTTGATACTAAACTGTGCATTGTACATAGTTTTAATGCATTGTATTGACCACCAGTACTTCTATAATGGTAGATTGTTTGTGCATTCAGACTTTTAAGCATTAAACATAAATAACTTCTAGTATGCTCATTTCTAATTCTTTGATCTGCTGGCGATAGTTTATTTTTGTCTTGGACTATGCCACTTCTAGCTATTAAAAATTATAGGTTTTATTCAAGAAGATTAGTGTTAAACTAATGTGAACTTTTTATTGTTGCTATTTTATTTTTATATTTACTTTTACTTGAGAAGAGCTAGAGGGGGAGAGGTTATCAATGACAGGTTGCTACCAACTATTTATTGCGTGCCTCTTTGGTGTGTAAAAATACTGTCCATCAAAAAGTGGTCATGTTACTCAAAGCCTTGATGCTTTAGAACTGCTGCTCAGTGGTTACCACTAGCCATCTGTGCCGGTTTAAGTAGGTTTATTAAAATTAAATATTCAGTTTATCAGTCACACTAACTACATTTCAAGTGGCTATGGGTCGACACGAATTGGTAGAACCTTTCCATCATTAAGGTAAGGTCTGTGGGACCAACGCTGCTTTCGAATTGCCCACACATACCATTTCCAGCCATGTGGGTTTGGGAAGCATTCCCAACACAGTGCATGAAGTCTCTTACAGCACAAGGCCTCGTGGACTGCTGCTGGTTGGGTGTGAAAATTTGGCATAAGGAGGAGCTTAAAGAATTCTAAATTCCTGGGACTCAAACACCTGTTATTTTCAGGCTTTGCTGGGTGGGAGCCTGAGATGGGAGCCCCCCACGGTGGTGTGAAGTGTGCTCAGTGCTCAGTGGTAAGAGGTGTTGACTTCTTGTGCTAAGAGTTCAGTGTTCATCAACACAAGGTTGGAAGCAGCACTTCAAGTGTGAGTACTGTGAGAGCTGCTACATCAGATGATAACATTTTTTAAGTATTCTTAGCTCAATTAATTGCAGTGTATCCTTATTAAAACTTCTTAAAAAGTGAGATCTGGAGTAAAATCATTTTGGCACAAACAGTAGGACATTTGCATACTGAGTTTAAGCTTCCAGAAGGAGGAAGTGCCACCCTCAGGAACTTAATTCCTTTTGGTGTCTCATATGTCAAATCTGGGATGTCCTTCAGTTTTTTTCTGACCCAAACATTGTCTGTTGTACTGGAATAAAAATTGAGATGAATCCGTAAATAGATCTACCTCTTTAAATAGGCATCTGTCTCCTCTCATTGCAGAGGTTTTATCAGATTCAGTTGTTACATCTTCTATAGAATACTCAGGCCTGGATTGACCTGCACAGAAATCTTAATGTTGTTGATGTAATCATAACTTGGTTTACCATAGTTTTTACTCCCAAGTATGGTGTTGCAGAGTCTGAACAACAACAGATAGGAAACACCCAAGGGAAAATTAGTTCCAGTGAAAGAACAGAGTGGTATAGGACTGGAAGATTAAATTACGTGGACTTACCAAGAAATGGGGGAAAAAAATCCAGACTAAAGCCATCAGACCTTTCTAAGACTGGCAGGTGAAATGGAGAAAAAACTCTAAGATCTTCAAGTGTCTGCAGATACACACCTCACTTTTGGGCCACTAGCCAGGTTGGCTTCTTGGCTAGTGAGCTGCAAAAAATCAGCTGAGACCTGGAATGGTGAACGCTGAAACTTGGAACTGCAGCCTGAAACACCTACAAGTGGTTGGAATTGCACAGTCATGGGACAGAAACTTTGAAAGCATCTCTCATAGCCCTGGGATTCTGGGACACTGCAGCCAGGAGTAGGGGAAATTGACACCCCAGAGTGAGAAGACTACAGACAGAAACAAGATGTCCAACACTGTCCGCTGAGAATTTTGGCAGTTGTAAGAAAATCTTTACTGCCTCAAGTAAGCAATTACAAAATTGCCAAGATGTCGGTACAAAAAAACTTAATTCCTTCACACTCCAGGCTGCTCGTTTCTGTAGCTCCCCAATTCCTGGGCCACCTGTAGAGTGACTTTGACCAATGAGCTGTGGGGCCTGCCACCCATCAGAGGCTACCGACCAGTCCTGTTGTTTTGAGCTAATTGCATTGATTTACTTTCCTATTCCAACTTCTGTTCAGAACTGACAGTGGAAATGACATTTTTGTTAACCCGAGCACATCAGACAACCTCTTGGATATTGCACTTTAACAGTGATGCTATCATAATGGTAGGGACTAACTCTGGCTGTAAGCTGCCATTGACATTTTATTTTAGTTTTGTTTGGGCTTTTGGCAGCAAGTGACAGAATCGTTTGGGTCTCAGGTAGAATTAGTAGGGAAATTCCCAGCTGGAATCTTAGGTACTGGGCCTGCAGGGAAGGAGGGTTCCCACAGGACTGCCTGTGTCCAGAGGAAAATCATGAGCACAAGCCTTTTTGCAGAAGCCCCCCTTGATCTCACAGCAGGCCCACACAGCCGGATGCTGGAACACAATTTACACAGGGCACCCAAAGGACTGGAGTATGAGAAAAGCGGTTCACCCAAACTCCCTACCCTCCCACAGAAAACTAGCTGACCTGAACCCCAATGCTCCGAATTGCAGTTGAAATTCCATACCGGTTGCCCAACACGACAGGTTGGAAGAAAAACGAGAAAATGTTCCACATGCTTCCACCTCCCTGCTCTTTGCTTCTCAGTTTCACGCACATTAGCTGGCTTGAGATTTCAGCATCACAAAACGTCTGGAAAACTCCTTAAATCCATGACAAATTGTGTTCTGAGTTCCTGTGATGTATGTGCCTACTGTGGACTGAATGTAGTACATACAAGGCAAAAACCCACTTGTGGGTGAGTGGGCTTCTCTAGTCGTGACCCTGGTGACCCTTGGCATCGCCACAGGCAGGGAGCCTCCCCCATTAACTTCATATTGTGGCTTGATGAGAACATCCAGAACCAACAAGTTTAATGTTATTTTGGAAGAATAAATGTCATGCTTTATTTGACTTGAGCCCAGCAAGATACACACACATACACACACACACTAGAAGGTACTGGTGGAGTATGTGGTTTTGAGAATGTAGGCAGTAAATTTTTGCACTCTGTTACGGTGGAGTCCAAACTAATGCCCAAATGGTTTTCAGTGGCCCAGCTTTTCTCCCCACACCCAGGTAGCAGTTGGCCATTTCCCAAACTTCACAGTCTCTTCTGACAGAAACTAGCATAGGGGGTACCCTGGCCATATCCTGTGTCATGTGGCAGAGAGTTGGCCTTGAGCTAGAGATTTTTGTTCATCCCCAGGGTTGAGGAAGTAGAATGTGTTAGCAGTGGGAACTAAGTCAAAGATAGAACGCTGCCGGCCTTGTGATCACAAGGGCTCCAACACAGAAAACAACCAGGTCAGCATGTGCCTGCCTTCTCCCAGGGCCAGCACCGTGGGGACAGGAAGAGACACCGACAGGAACCATCACGAGGGCTGGAGTGAGAACTGGAACCGCCATGCAGCAAGCAGAGCAGTTTTCCTTACAGGGCAGCTTCTCATTAGTTGAAGAACTTCAGTATAAAGCCTACTTGCCCCCAACATCTATTAGGTCAAGTCTTGGCACCATGCATCCAATGCAGAGGAGGCTGGTGCAGCTGGGAATAGAGCACACACCCCCCCCCCCCCCAAGCCTGTTAGTGGTTCCTGGGTGAATGAAAACAAGACTTTGTTTCTGGATTCACTCAAGAAATCGTGTTAAACTTTGTTCTTTTTAAAAAATATATATTTTATTGATTTTTTACAGAGAAGAAGGGAGAAAGAGTGTCAGAAACATCAATGAGAGAGAAACATCGATCAGCTGCCTCCTGCACACCCCCAACTGGGGATGTGCCCGCAACCAAGGTACATGCCCTTGACAGGAATCAAACCTGGGACCTTTCAGTCCACAGGCCGACACTCTATCCACTGAGCCAAACCGGTTAGGGCTAAACTTTGTTCTTAAATCTCAGATTTTCACTGTCCCTTTTATTTCTTCTCCAAGCAATCAGTGTCAATGAAATGTAATTTCCAGTTTTATGACTGAGCTGGGAAACTCGGGCTTTCTACAATGATGATGGGTCCACCTGACTCCAGGCACATCTTTAAGCATCAAAGTCTTAGTATGGTCAAGAACAGCCTCCTGGGCACCAGACAGTTGTGAAGATGATTCTGAGGCTAGTGGCCTTGGTTCCCAGACACTGGGTTCCTGAGAAGAGATGGCCTTAAAAACAAAGGGTGAAGTGTCCCTAATGAGATTTTCAGTGGTGACTCAAGCTAAGAGTGAAGGATTTAGCCCCAGTCGCTGAGGGGGTGGACTCGCTTTCACACTGAATGGTTGGGCTGGACCTTGCAGACCTTCTGTGGGTGCACTTTGAACCCGAAGAACCAAAAGGACTTGTGTTCAGTTCCTTCAGACTTGGAAGACACCATTTCCACGTAGTGGAATTTTGTGCTTGTTTGACTTTTTCTGCCGAAGATTTGTTTTTGCACGAGTTACAAAGAACAGTGTTCGATGTCTCTTTCCTATTACATGTTATTAGGTTTGTAAAACTCATGTAAACTTGTAACCCGACCACAGACCTGCAAAGGGAAGAAGATACAGCACGTTGGTGTTGCTCAGGTTTATAAAGTTGTCTTTTCCCACAGCTTTAATAGGTTATGACATATTATGTAAGTTGAAGGTATGTATACAAGGTGATGATTGGATACACACATATATATCGTGAAATGGTTGTCACAATAAGGTTAGTTAACACATCCATCACCTCAATTTGTGTGTGTGTGACAACAGTTAAGATTTACTCTCAGTAATTTTCAAATATATAATACAGTATCGTTACCTATAGTCCCCATGCTGTATATAAGATTCCCCAGAACTTACTCATCTTATAGCTGGAAGTTTTGCCCCAAATGCATCATGAAAAACTTCTGGTATTCTTCGAATATTCCATCTTGGCATTGGAAATAGGGATTTGTGGGTCTGTACCTCTGTATTCCCCGTGTTACAGGTGAGAAATTGGATCCACAGATGCCAAATGACTTGAATGACTAGTGGATTGAATAGAGCCGTGACCTCCGCCTCTCCCCACGGTCAGCAGGTCAGTGACCGGAACACGGTTGCCCAGAGTGTTCCTTTGGCTCCCTCTTTTATGTGGCTCTGTCTCACTCCCATGTGCCACTTCCATGTGCTCTCTGCTCTCTTCTAATCAGACTGAACATTCCT